ACAAGGCCTCCTGTTCTTCTTTTTGCGGATACAGACTAAAACGGCTGCTACTCTGAAAGAATATTTTAGTGATTTAGGGTCACAGATCTGATCAGTACAGTAATTCCTACATTCCATCTAATCTAGTATCCAGTCTCTGACAGTGACCAGTACTAGTGGTTCAAAGGAAGGTGAAAGAAACCTGCAGTAGGCAGATATGGGATAATATGCTTCCTCCCCACACCACCACCACATTAGATATTAGAATGAGATATAATTAGAGACTGCATAAGCCCTGAAACATGAGGTTTAATATCCCTTCCAAAATGTATTAGCATTAATCATGACAACTCTGGATACTCTTGTTATCCATATAAAGGTCCAATCCCTTTTTGAATCTTGCTATGCTCCTGGCCTCAACAATTTTCTGTAGCAACAAGTTTCATAGTGTAATTACACACTGTGGAAAAATATTTCCTTGTATCAGTTTTGCCACTTTTTAATTTAATTAAAAATCTCTTTGTTCTTGTATTGTGACAGGGAGAACACAAGACTCCCTATCTACCTTCTCTAGACCATACTAACACTAGACTGTATATACTTTTATCATGTCACCTCTTTAAGAAAAGGAAATTCAATCTTTTCAGTCACTCCTCATGAGAGTTTTCCCATGCCCTTGATCATTCTCATTGCCGCTCCTGGAATCCCCTTTGATTCTCCTGTATCTTTTTTTAGATGGGATGACCAGTACTATACACAGTATTCCAGATGAGGCCACACAATTGATATGAGGCATTATAATGTTCCCGTGTTATTCTCCATTCCATCCTAACATTGTTTGTTTTCTGATCACAGCTGTGCATCAACCAGAGATCTATCTACAGTGACACCCAGGTTTCTACCCGGAGCAAATACAGTTAATTCAGAACCTTGAAAGGGATGCTAGTAGTTTAAAAGTTCTCTCTCCAACATAAATTAACTTTCATTTATCGACACTGAACTTTAATTGCCACCTCATCATCCGTTGACCTAGCTCAGTTAGGTCTCACTGAAGCTCCTCAATCCTTCCTGGTATTGATGAATCGAAGGCCATGTCTACACTACAAAATTACGTCGACCTAACTTACGCCAGCATACAGCCACCACAGTTGTTATATTGCTTGTGTGCGCGCGCACTTGGCTCCTTGTATTGGTGGTGCGCATCCTCACCAGGAGCGCTTGTATTGATAGTACTGTCAGTGTGGGGCATTGTGGGATGGCTCCTGAAAGCCAGTAACAGTCAACACAAGCAACACAGTGTCTAAACTGACACTGCGTCGAGCTAATTACACTAACCGTGATTCTACGCCATTGGGGAGGTGTTACTAAACTGGCGTAGAGAGGCACTTACATCAGCGGGAGCCAAATTTAAGTGTAGACACTTCCACCCCTAGGTTGACACAAGGCAGCTTACGTTGACCTAACCGTGTAAGGTGCCACAGGACTCTTTGTCGCTTTTAACCGTGTAGTGTAGACCAGGCCTAAACAACTTGTGTCATATGCAAACTCTGCTACTTTGCTCCCTTTTCCAGACCATTCATAAATATATTAAATTCTGTACCCCGTACATAGCCTTGAGGTATCTCAGTGTTAACCTTTTGACAGGATGAAAGCTGACTATTTAATTATACTCTGTTTTCTAACTCCTAGCTAGTTTTTGATCCATGGCAATACTTTGCCTCTCACCCCATGACGATTTTGCTTCTTTAGTAGTGTTTTGTGAGGGACTTTGTCAAAGGCCTTTTGAACATCTAAAAAAATTGCCCGCCAGTGGATATAGGAGTTATTTGACACATTCAAAGAATTCTACTAGATTAGTGAGATACCATTTTCCTTTGCAGAAAACATACTAGTATATAATGATCCGCCAGATGTTTTAGTCATCTGTTTTTTAATTATCATTTCAACCAGTTTGCCAGGTACAGATGTAAGACTTATTGGCCTGTAATTCCACATATCACCCCTAGCATCTTTTCCGAAATATAGATACATTTGCTATCTTTCAATCCTCTGGAACAGTAGCTTTTTTTAAAATGAGACTACACTTCATACTTAAGGGCCTTCAGAACTCTTGGGTACATATTAGACGAGTCTGATTACTACTAAATCTACTAAGTTAAGACTGTTGCCAACACTATCTGTGATAGAAAGTACTCTATGGTGTTTTATGGTTACCAGAACAAGCAATACGACAGAAAGGGTATATGGCAGAAAGGGTAGAGGAACTGTCACATAGAGACTCCCAGTTGTAACAGTAACATAAATGAAGGGAGAGTCAACAGAATCAAGGGCAACTTTAGGGATCTGGAAAGAGAATCAATGGGGGATTGCCCAAACTGATGTTCTCAGAGATTCTTTCTGTGCCAAGTGTAAGTAAAGGGGGTGGGGGGAGACCAATACTAGAAACCAAATGAGGGCTGCATACATGGTAAAGGAAGAAGGGTCACAAATTCACGGGTTTCAGCCTTTGTAGATGGAGGAAGAGAATAGCAACAATGGCCTTGTGGGCAAAGTGTACAGACTAGGGACAGTGAGGAGAAAGGAAAAAGGTCTTATTAGGAAGTGAAGACCAGCTTCCAGCCATTTTTACTGAGTAAAATCATTATACAGGATATACCATAGGAATATTTGGTGACTAATTAAAAACAAAACACACACCCACACACATTCTAAGATAAAGGAAAAATTAATGCAACTTGCTAGTATCATGATGACTTACCTTGAAAGCTACAACTTTTCCGTATGTAGTACAAGCAGATCTCATCTAATTCTTCATTACTATTTGTATTCAGGGACACCTGACTAAGACTGTCTCTTCTCGCTACAAAGGGAGAAACAGAGTTGTCATTTATAAATAGCTTTAGTATGCTTAGTTTCAACAAGTTCTCCTAAAAAATACACTTATATTTAGAGAACACACCATGAAGAGACTTTGTAATACACAACTCTGATCCAATTCCAAGAAGACTGAAGTTGAAGCCTCCCCACTACAAAAATACATTCAGGCATATAGTTACGACACATAACAAAAAGTCATAACATACTTAAACCCCATCTATGCTATAAAATGTAACTATGTTCCATAACAAAACTAAAGCCTTGGTCATTTTGTCCAAGCCATTAGTCTGATTACATAAGCTTGTGTTTTGTTTTGTAGTATAGACAGTCCCTAATTTGGCCCAACTTATATTTTTAGATCCTGAGCATGTAAATGACACCTAACTTAGATTCCCTTACAGATATAACTTAAATACCTTACCTATCACGAAGCCTGTGATTCTTTCATGGAAGTCATGGATTCCGTGACTTTCCACAACCCCCGTGACTTCTGCAGCAGCTGGTGCAGCTGACTTCAGGGCCGCCCAAGCAGCTGGCCCTGGGGCCAGCTGCACCGGCGGTCCCCGGGGCCAGCTGCACCGGCGGTCCCCGGGGCCAGCTGCACCAGCTGCTGCTGGAGCAACCCAGGGCCACCTGCTCCAGTGGTCTCCGGGGCCAGCCGCTGCTCAGGAGGCCCCGGGCAGCTGGCTCCGGGGACCGCCTGAGCAGCAGCCAGTGCGGCTGGTCCCGCGGACCACCCAAGCATCAGTCCTGGGGAACGCTCAGAGCAGCAGGGCCCCAGAAGTAGAGATTTAGTCAGGGATATTTTTGGTAAAAGTCATGGACAGATCACGGACCATGAATTTTTATTTATTGCCCATGACCTGTCCATGACTTTTACCAAAAATACCCGTGATTAAGCCTTAGCCTTACCCATCACCTCTGAATTTGACTTCTGGGTCTCTAGTTCCTTGAATTCAGTTTGTAGGTGTATTGTAAAAATACAAGAACAGAATCAAAACAGACAGTGAAATGAAGGCAGAGAGATGTTAAATGACTTGACCAACGTTACACAGAGAGTCAATGGCACATCTGGAAACAGAATCCAGGAAGCTTGCCTCCTAGTCCCCTTCTCCAGCCACCAGACTTAGTCAGATCAGTTACAGAATATCATGAGTGAGACTTGCTTGGCTTACTAAGAAAGATATCTACATCACCCCAACCAGTGGAGTAACAGCCTTATTGTTTCAAAACACACAAGTTATGTGGGTATCCCAGACACCTATTCACCTTGCCAGAAGTGGTAACAGAGTCTACAATTTAGAACTGCTGTGGTTCCAAAGGTACACAAGAGAGCTGAGTGATCAGGTGGCAGGTATACATTCTGTTTTTCTATTCTACAGTCCTTTAATTAATTTAGCATAGTTTAAAAATTTAAGTGGAAAAGGAATAGAAAACATTAAAGCTATTAGAAGTAATTAGGGCACTGCTTTCCATGGCTTCTCATGCTATACACCATAGATAAGAAAAAGGTGGAGAAGTATATAAAATCTCACACACACACACACACACACACACAAAGCCTGCCCTTCCTTTGATGTGCTCTCTCTCTGCTTAACCCACTTCCACCAGAACTATAATAAAGAATCCCTTTTTTCCCCATTTCCAGTCCTACTCTTCTATTCTATAGAGGTTTTTAATACCACACCTCATCACCACAGTATCTAAGCACTGACCATAAAGCATTAAGCAATGTGCCTAAACTTCTATCACGTTGTTTGTTCTCTCATCCTCACCCCCAGAGAGAGAAGCACATGCAATAGAGTGTCTTGTATTGGCACTGTGTGTCTTTTTCTTTTTTAATATACACATATACCTGTTACTCTGTGTTTATGTTAGAGAAGGAAAGGTCAAAGAAATTCACCTTGCACTTGGAGTGGAAAGTGGTGAGGTTTGTGATGGTCCTTACTCCCTGGAGAAGATCATTCTGCCCCAGGATCAAGGCTCTTGCATCATGGCAATCGTTTTATCCTTTGGAATCCTATCTATGCCTCAAAATTTGAATAGGGGGATGTTTATAAAGAGAGAAAAGGTACCTCACCTGGTGGCAGGGTTGCCAGCCCCCCAGGATTGTCCTGGAGTCTCCAGGAATTAAAGATTATGTCATGTAATGAAACCTCCAGGAATACATCCAACCAGAATTGGCAACCCCTAATAAGAACTAGAGCTAAGTCTCAATTTCAGTTTCCCTATCTAGCAGAGATCTGTGCTAATGTTTTAAAAAGGATAAAATGTTTTACCTTTGCATGGTGAAGAGGTGCCATTTTTGATGTCATACATGTTCCTGAAGATAGAGGGCAGTTTGGCAATCAGGTTTGGGCTCATTCCCCGCCTCTCCAGTTTTTCATAACACTCCAGATTAAAAATGTCATGTGATCGCTTGCAACTACTGCCAAATCTGCACTCGCCCTGCAAGTAGTACTGGCACATATGGAGTTTGGTGCAGATCTTCTTGAAGGTACAAGACCCATAGAGTCCATCGCCTTTGTTATAATGCATGCATACCTGGGAAAGAGGAAAAAAACAAACAACTCTAGTGCAAGTAGTATATTTTGGCCACTTTCTTGTTCATACACACTCAAAACAAAAACAAAAGCCATGAAGAAATCTATATGGGCTTTTCTGAACCACGGCTACTGTTTAGAACAGTGGGGGCCAACTTATTGCACAGGAGGGCCATGTAAACCTAAGTATAACCTTGTGTGGGCCAAACAGATTCTACATATATTAATAAGATTTAAAATATAAATCAATACAGGTGACTACGTTCAGCTTGTTTCGTATGTATTTAGATAGACAATATTGTACATAGATACAACCTATTTACACACTTGTGTAATCTAAAATGATGTAAACAAGACGACAAAATACTAATGAATCAGGCGTTAGTATATCATGTTGAAGCAGGCCGCGGGCCTCATGAAATGCGCTGGCTGGGCACCCCTGGTTTAGAATGGGCTTTTTGGCAGACCCAAACATCCGCATCAAACACATTCAGGCCCACTTTGATGATGGCAAGTGGAAGTTTACTCTAACTCACATACATTCGGCATGGTTGAATTGATGTTGCCGTAAGAACCTCAACGCTTTGAGTTGCTAATTTTGCTGTGCTTTATTTCTCATCTTTAGTGTTTTAGGAAGATAGGTTTTGAATTTAAATTTCCTTGTAGATTCTGGTCATGCAAGTCAAGATCATTTGAGTTTCTCTTTTGTTAATCCTTCTAAACAGGTAACACCCAGTACAACAGATTTATATTATGGATGATTAAATACTAAAGAACAGAAAGAAAGACTTATAGAAAGTTAATACAAAAATCATTGTATACATATATTAGAACATTTTTAAAAGAATCAAAAGCTATTAAATTAGCATGTCTAGTTTCTTGAAAGCCACTAGTCCTGTGTGTTCGGGTTTTATTTTTTATTCTGAATGAACCTGGGTCTCATGAAAAGCTAGTTTCTACCATCTAGCTCTGCTAATGCACTTCAGTCTTAAATCATAACACTCCTGATATTCCAGACTCAGTTTCAGATAAAGTTCTGTCAATAAACTTCAATCTGACCTGCAATATCCATTAAAAAAAAAAAAGTTAGAACAGCAAAGGTTTTTGCAGGTCAGTGATGAGGTGCAACGCCGGAGCTATGCAGGAAATATGTACAAAGCAAGACACTGATCCTGCAAATACTTCTGCGCAAGCTTGATTTTACTTCAGTGAAATTACTCTCCGTAATGAAGTTAACTATAATTACAAGTATTGTAGAATCAGGGCCCACATACCTCATCACCACAGTGTTTGCCAATGCCATACCTGGTTCTACCCAATGCCATTATTTCTTCTTTTCATGATACTAATTGTAAAGGGAATACTATATTGCTAGAGTAGTACTCACTTCAGGTAAGAGCGAAGAATCATTCTGAAGCAGGAGCTGACGCAACTCATCATCATTTAAGTTTTCAAGACCATGTCTTTTTAGGACACGGAGGTTATGCTCTGACTGAAAGTTATGAACAAACTTGCATTCTTTCCTACAAGTTAAGAAAACCAGACATAAAGAAGGATCCTTAACCAGCACAGTTTTTCCATTACTGGAGATACATTACATTTAACAGTTTACCAACTGCACAAAGTTAGCTAGTCTCAGGAAAAAAATCCATGTTTCTTTACAGAGTAATTACATGATTATCCTCAGAGTAATTACTATGTAATCTGGTAGGCACAATCATCATATCATCATTTCTAATTTACTGCTTCCGTGTTATTCAGTAATTACAGCAGCACAACAACATTGGTACCTATGCCCCCCAGATTACATGTCAGTTACACTCCATGATGAAAAAGCAGGAATAATGGTTTATATTTCTAGCTCTCCTACCACAAATACACTAATAAACTTGAGCAGCATAAAATATTCAGAATCAGTACCTAAATGATTATTTGTATGATGCATTAGTCCAGGGATTGGCAATCTTTCGGAAGTGGTGTGCCGAGTCTTCATTTATTCACTCTAATTTAAGGTTTCACGTGCCAGTAATATATTTTAACGTTTTTAGAAGGTCTCTTTCTATAAGTCTATAATATATCACTGTGGCTCTTTGGCAATGTACATTGGTAAATTCTGGCTCCTTCTCAGGCTCAGGTTGGCCACCCCTGAACTAAGTGCACGTCTTCACTGGCAATGTTAAAAGCGCTGCTGCAGCTCCCAGCATGGCTCCCAGCGTTGGTGCATTGTCTACACTGGCACTTTACAGCGCTGAAACTTGCAGCACTCAGGAGGGTGTTTTTTCACACCCCTGAGTGAGAAAGTTGCAGCGCTGTAAAGTGCCAGTGTAGAAAAGCCCTAAGTGGGTGAAATCAGACAGACAATCACTACACTCTCAAATAAGCTTACACAGGAAAACGATAAAAGATAAAAACGCTATCACCTGTGGGTGAACACGTTCTACAAAATTATCACTCCATATGACCTCTCACTCCTCATTCTCAAAGGAAATCTGGACAACACCTTCAAAAGATGAGCCTGGGTGCTTGAATTCATGATTTTGCTAGACACTAAAAATCATGGTGTGACGGATCCACAGAATTGGTGCTATAGCCCCACCTTTGGAAAATTCTCTTGGAAAATCCCTTCAGTTTGCCAGACCTGCCCCCTCCGCCAAGGGTCTCACTGTTCCTCCAGGGTAACTCACTCTGCTTCACTGCCTCAGGCTGAATCTCAGAGTCTTCAGCACCCCTGCTTCACACCATGATCTCTGTTTAGCGAGCCATACTGGGACGGACACCTGAAAGACACTTGTATGCCCCTAGGGAGCTATGCACCTCCTCATTCCTTAAGCAGTCACAGCAACTCTCAGCCAGTATTGTAAAGACAGTAGGATTTATTAGTCAACTGGAACACAGCACAGAAAGAACAGGAGTACTTGTGGCACCTTAGATACTAACAAGGTGCCACAAGTACTCCTGTTCTTTTTGCGGATACAGACTAACGCGGCTGCTACTCTGAAACACAGCACAGAAAGTCCTTGGTTAGCATCTAGTGCCACTTTCAGCGCTAAAACTTTAGTCATTCAGGGGTGTGGAACCCCACCCCCCACCCCCAAGCAACAAGAGTTTTAGTGCTGAAAAGCACCAGTATAGACAGCGCTTCTACCACTGCTCATTCAGGGTGGTTATTTTTTAATTGCCAGGAGAGCTCTTCCCCAGCGATAAAGCGTGACTACACTGCCCACATCACAGCACCGCCATGGCCATGCTGTAACGTGGGCAGTGTAGACATAACCTTAGAGAGAAGAAAGTTACAGCATGGTCCATTCTGGTTAACCCAGAGCCCTGACCAGAATGCCCCTTTGGCTCCTGCTGTCTCTCTGTGTCCTCTTTGTTCAAATTCTTGGGCCAGTCCCACCTAGCCCCTCCTCAGTCCTTTGTTGTCCAGTTGGTCAAACACGGCTTGCTTCCTGTAGATGGGGTGGGTCACCTACGGTCGTAAATTGATAGGTATCAAATGTCACAGTGACTGGATTGGCCGTTGTCTTCATGGGCTCTCCACTGACCTAGGGCAGGCCCCAGACAGCTAGGCATCAGTCACACCTGTGTTATAGCTTACCCCAAGAGTAAACAGTCTTTTCCCACCACCTAGTTAACAATTCAGCATATAGGGGAAACCAAGGCACACAGCATTCATACAAAATATTTACAGAAAATTCCCACTCCATCACACTTGGACAGAAAACAAACACTGGATTTATGGCTTATTACAGTCTAGAACCCACTAACGACCCCCCACAAGCTGCCTGTTTTCCCTCTTCCTTCTTTTTCCCCCCTATGAATGGATGGATTCTAATGGGCCACTGCACCTTGAAATATGCATTAACTACTTATGAAAAACAATCTGTTCCAGGTTGTATTTAGCTGTGACACTCTGAGAATGAGTTTCCCAGACCTGAAGAAGAGCTCTGTATAAGTGTGAAAGCCTGTCTCTCTCACCAACCAAAGATGATCCAATAAAAGATATTACCTCACACTCCTTGTCTCTCTAACATCCTGGGACCAGTACGGCTACATCAACACTGAATACATCTTTATAGTTTACAACGGTAAGTCATATAGTCTAGCAAGCTATTTCAAAGTATATAGGGGGAGGGATAGTTTAGTGGCTTGAGCATTTGCCTGCTAAACCCAGGGTTGTGAGTTCAATCCGTGAGGGGGCCACTTAGGGATCTGGGGCAAAAATCAGTACTTGGTCCTCCTAGTGAAGGCAGGGGGCTGGACTCAATGACCTTTCAGGGTCCCTTCCAGCTCTATGAGATAGGTATATCTCCACGTGTTATGTTAAAGTAAATGAAGCTTTTGGGAGGAAAACTAGTATTTGTCTAGTATCCAGAATGTGCTACATACCTATGGTAAGAATTTGGTTATGTTTTTTACTTTGTATATTTTGCCTACTATAAAGAGCCCTGCAGAAATGGCATGATACCTTTATTTAGCGAACCATTATTCACTTACCCAATCCATTAAAGCACTGTCTCACATACACCCTCTATTTTCCAGGATTTGCACCATCCTATGCCAAGCACCTCCACTATGCTATTTCATCTTGCTCTGCAGCTTTGAGACTTTTTGTGATGCTTCTCTCTGGTTTTATAACATCACAAATAATAAATACATCAAACCCTGGGTGTTATGGCTTTAAACATACCACAAAGAGCATCCCAACCTTTTCCAACTTAGGATAAACAGTTGCTTACCCAGGAGGAAACTACTAGGGGATCAACAGGCTTCATCTCTAAAATGAAACAACCCAACTCAAAATTCAAATATTTACCACACACACTGAACTACTATAGCTAGACCCTAAATGGAACCTGTATTCTTGCAAATCCCCTAACCATAATAATGCAAAATCTGAAACTGGGAGGTACAAAAAGCACAGTGGAAGCCAGATAGGAACAGTACAACCAAGGTAACAAGATTTATCAAAACAAACACCCTTTTTATTTTTAACTCCTCTCACTGTCCAAGTTAGTAAAAGATAAATTCCATAAACTATCACAGTTAATAAGAATCTCATTTTTTATTTAAAAAAATACAAAGACACATGGAAGAAAAAACACATATCCCACTAGAAAAATAGCAAAGATATCCTCATGCCATGGAACAGCCTCTCCCCCAGTGAGTAACAATGATCAATTCCTGGTTTACTAAACTTTTGAAAAGTCCAGCCCCATAATCAGAAAAATAAAACCAGTTGCACACCCCCTTCCACTCTGCCCTTTGAGCTTTAAAGGCCTCCCCCATCTTCATGTCCACATCTTGCACGCACCAAACTAGCCTTTTGTATACAACCCCTAAATCCGTCCAGAGGGGAGCGCCCCACATTTTGTGAGAAAGTGGGAGGGGGGGGAAAGAAATGAACATCAACCCCTGAGCAGACACTGGGTGTGCTGTCCTGACCCAGCAGCCCTGAGGGGCTTTCCTTCAGCAGAGGGGCCGCTCCCTTGAACAGTTTCGGTGGCACCCACTGACAATGTAAATGGCTGTGTTGGGCCCATCCCCCGGGCAGGGGGCCCCTCCCGCTCGGGGGTGGGATGGCCAGAGGGGATGGATCCGGGCTCCCCCCGCCGGGGGTGGGATGGGATCCGGGCTCCCCTCGCTCAGGGGTGGGGATGGCCAGAGGGGATGGATCCGGGCTCCCCCCGCCCGGGGGTGGGGATGGATCCGGGCTCCCCTCGCTCAGGGGTGGGGATGGCCAGAGGGGATGGATCCGGGCTCCCCCCGCCCGGGGGTGGGGATAGATCCGGGCTCCCGCCGCGGAGGAGGGTGGGGAATAGCCAGAGGGGGTCCCCAGAGCCCCGGGGGTGACCCCGGCTCACCTGGTGCGCTGGTAGCGGCAGTTGCCGTACAAGAAGTACCGGCAGATGTGGAGCTGGCCGCACTGGCCCCCGCAGCCGGCTCCCGGCGCGCCGTGCTCCTGGCACAGCCGCACGGCGCTAGTGGCCACCACCACCCGCTGCTCCTGGGGCGGGCCGCCGGGCGAGCAGGGCCCCGGCCGGGTCACCAGCGTGAACCGCTCCGGCTCGGTCAGCAACAGGCTGTCCAGGCTGGGACCCGAGGCCGGCAGCCGCCGCGACAGCTCGCCCTGCTCCAGGGAGCCGCCGGCGGAGCACAGCGCCTGCAGCGCCTGGCTGGGCAGCGCGGGGCGGGCCATCCCGGGCAGCCCCGAGCCCCTCACCCCGCGACCCCCTGGTGCAGCTCCGCCGGGAGGCCTTGGCACGGCTCCGCCCCGGCGCTCCCTGCAGCCTCTTTGCCTATTTATTGTTGTGAGTCTTCCGCAGAGAAACGAAACTGAAAGCGGCTCTTCGCGCAGCTCCCCTGCCCCACCCCCGGGAGCCCGAGCTGCCTGAGGGCGTCCCCATGTAGCACCCGTGACCCTGCATCGCTGGGGAGGCGGAGTCGCCCCTTCAGGAAGTTCCGCTGCAGACCAGCCAGGTGGCCAGTGGAGGGACCTGTCTTCCCTCCCCTGCCCTCCCGGGCCGCTCCCTTGCGGGGCGCTGCAGCCGGTGGGGAGGGACACGCAGCGCTGTAATCAGCACCCTAACGCGCTGGCCTCAGGCTCCCTCAGCGGCCAGGGCTAAGTCCGCTGTTGCCACTGACTTTGCCCTCTACACTGGTATCACAACAGCTCTCCTGATGCTTCTTCTCCAGCCGCCACCCAGCCCTAGTGTCCTGTCTCCCTTTCCCCCTCGGCCGGGGCGTGCCTGTAAACCCAGCAGAGATGCTAACAGGAACCATTCTTCAGCTCGTCTTCAGGAAGATGTAACAAGTTGTGTAATTAGAATGTACCCAGGTATCTTTGGGCACAAATCGTTTGTCAGGTATTTCCTGGTGGTGAGGTTGAAACCCAGGTCACCTAAATTTCCATCCCACCATCAACCTCAGCCTAGATCAATCCACACAAGCGGTCCATTTCCTGGACACTACTGTGCTAATAAGCGATGGTCACATAAAGACCACCCTATACCAGAAACCTGCTGACCGCTACACTTACCTACATGCCTCCAGCTTCCATCCAGGACACACCACACGATCCATTGGCTACAGCCAAGCTCTAAGATATAACCGCATTTGCTCCAATCCCTCAGATAGAGACAAGCACCTACAAGATCTCTATCAAGCATTCTTAAAACTACAATACCCACCTGCTGAAGTGAAAA